CTGAAATCATTAAATAACACAAGAAAGACACAGCTTGACTCGGAGAAAGTAAGGGTTTGTTATTGTTGATTATTTTTGTTTTGATTTTACAGATTTCTCCAAAAAAATAATTTTCTTGTTTATCTCTGTTCCTGTCAGCACTAGATGACTATGGATCCTCCAGTGTGGGCAACTGTGCTTTATTCATATAAAATTAACTCATTTGCTTATGTGTTTATCAGCTGTTTACTGATCTCTGTGTCAATGCCCAGGCTAGGTACTCTTGAAGCTCAATACCTACCAGTGGAAGGAAGGGCTGGATGGGCACTAAACTGGCCAGACAGCAAGTGAATAACCAAGACAGGGCTGAAGTGGGATTCTTGCTGCTATGGAAACAGCATCAGCTGGGTGTGGTGTCTCATGCCTGGAATTCCAACATGTCTTTCTCTTAACTTGCCCAGAAAAACATCTCTGGCAGTGCTGTCAATGACCAGGGCTTTGTAACTGGGAAGGAGGAGGATGAGTGAGAAAACAGGGTGACTAAGGTCTTTGGGAGACTGAGGCAGGGCTATTTTCATGAGCACTTGCTGCTTTTGTAGAGGACCCAAGTTTAGGTCATAGCTTACAGCTAACTAATTGTAACTCCAGTTCCAGGGGATCTGCCTTCCTCTTCTGCCCTCTACCTGTGCATGCATCCACCTCCATGTGCTCACACAGGCGCACACATACACTAAAATAAAACCAAAGTGATTCTGTGTGTGTGTGTGTGTGTGTGTGTGTGTGTGTGTGTGTGTGTGCTTGTGCGTCTGTGTATGTGGGGTGTGTAAAGACTGGAATACAGAAGGGACTTGCCCATCCAAAGAATTGAGAAGCTACCATTAGGAATAAAACTTCAAGAACAAGAGGAAAAGCCAAGTTCCAAGTCTCAGACTAACTACCAAAACTCTGATACAGTGGCACAGTGCTAGCCATGAACTCCAAGAGCGGTTGAGGCAGTCGGCACAGTGCTAGCCCTGAACTCCGAGAGCAGTTGAACCATAAGAGCAGTCAGAGCAGGAAGACTAAACCCCGACTCTGAGGTCTGATAGCATAATTCTTAATGTCGGACTCTGTGACCTTCAGAAGATTTCCTAAGATGTGTCCCCCACAATATAACTTGCTTTCAAGGGGAACACAAGGTACATGCTATTAGCAAGACTAGAGACATAAGGGGTGGAATGTAATTGCTCCAGCACTCAGAAAACCACTTAAGAAATTTTTGCAAATAATTATTCTTGACGGAGGAGACACGAGGGTGACTTGAGACACCATGTGGGATGTCTTTGGGTGTCAGCAACTTTGGGTGCTCTGAATGTGTTAGAGACACACCAAAGGAAAGTAGCAAGCAATGGTGGTGATGGGGAAGGTGGTGCTCTCGGGCTCGAAAACAAGTTAGCAAACAGGTAGACAAAGAATTGGAGACACCTGAGAGTTATGAAGGCATAACCCTGTTGTGCGTTTAAAAGTATAGAAAGCATATTCTAAATGTAAAAGAGGCATGAAGATACCTGATTTCCTGCAACGATGTTTCCCCAGATCCTCCTACCCCAAATATCTGGGAGTTCTTATCTGGGGTTCCCTCTTCCCTTCATCTAACGGATATTGAAGGGATGAAAACCAGCACGAATGTTTTTCTGAACTGATGTGTTTTTAGATAACCCCCACCCCCTGTATGCTCCATACCTCTCCCACCCAAATCGCCTAACTGTCTAGATGATGGTTTGCAGAAACTTGGACTTGTTAATTAACCTAAACAGCCACATTCATCTGCAAGGTGCATTATTGTTAATTAAAACTGCGATTCTCCTCGTGCCCAGACGGAGGACTGCTGTTGTCAGAATAATTAGATAGCATAGGATGATTTTCATGCAAATTCCCAGCAATTAGAGTTGGCGATGAGTTGGGTTTGAAATCCCAGTGAAGTTCTCAGTGAGAATTCCTTGGAGGCTGCCAAGGAAAGGTGTTGGGGGACAGGGGAGGAGGGTAGAGGTATGGTGGTGGAGGAAAGGATTTAGGAAACAAATGCATGGTTCCTAAATCCTCTAGGGTGTGGGGCTCAGCCAGAAGGAAATGAATTAGAGGCATCAATGTGATGTTCAAACTTTTCTCAAAAAGAAAAGAATTCTCCCCTTAATGTAAATTGACCCTCCCCAGGGCTTTCTGCATTCCCAAGAGCTTGTTTCCCTGACTCTCATCTTTCTGAAAGTTTTTTTTTTCCTTAGCCAGGAGGCCCAATAACTCATACGCAGCTAAAATCCCTGCCAACCTTTAGATTAAATTCTAAGGAAACAGGATTTGTATTCCTGAAGGGTTGCACAAAAGATGCCGAGTTCCAACCCAATTTAGAGTGGTTAGTGGTACCCATTGGGTTAAATGGTTTGGATAGCAGGTCCCCATGGAAAGCATGTAGAAATGGCTGAAGTCAGAGTTGGACATAAGGATGAACTATACAGTTGCCGTATGCATAATGGCAGGGAAAGGGCATTCCCAAAGGACTGGGAGCAAGACAGCAAGGGTGAGGGAGGGGAATGAGAAGGAGATAACTTTTAGTGCTCTTGTTTCCAAACCCACTGTGACCTCTTATCAGTTGCCGGCTTCTGTTTCTTCTGCCTTCCCTTTGCAAGAGATGAGATAGCTGTCATCTATGCCCAGGACTCTCTCAACCCCGACTGAGCAAGGAGGGAGATCTAGCTGGAAGTATAGGATTGAAGTAGAACAGACAGCCCTAGTGGTGTTAGGCCAAGTTTCCCCTTAGTCTTGGAAGAATCAGGGAGTCAAAACAGCCTTACCATCCCTTAAACTAGGTCAGCCTCTAAATCCAGTTCCTCGTAAGAGAGGAAAGCAACATCTGGAATGATTGCAAGAGCAGCTGGAGATTCTCTCTCTCTCTCTCTTTCTCTCTCTCTCTCTCTCTCTCTCTCTCTCTCGTGTGTGTGTGTGTGTGTGTGTGTGTGTGTGTGTGTGTAAAAGGCAACTAGAAAGGAAATAGAAAATGAAAACACCAGGACACATTCACCATCACTATGGTTAGAGACCTGAGCATAATTTAGGCTTGTAAATTATTTCCCTTTTCCTCATTTTCTTTTCCTTTCTTTATGTTTCAGAATGTCTCCCGCGTCTCAATGGTCTCATAGTCCCGCCTTTCAATTTATGAGGCACCAATCAGGAGCTAAACCTGGTGGTTGCTAAGAGACCAGAGGAGGGAGATTTAGAGTCTTTGTCAAGGCACCCACCCAGGAAAATTCCCTGATCCTTATGCACCCTCCAGCCCAGGATGTTTTAAGTCATCCCTGTCCCTCTCCTACAGTTTCCTCTCAATCTTAAAACCCAGAACATCATGCATAGATATGTTAGGAAAGAAGACAGTAAAGAACATCTTTGAAAGTATAGAGACTGGAAGTAGATTCAGATTGATTTGAAGTATTCGCTCAAGTTTTCCTGGGTGGACTGGAGGTCGGTTGCAGGGAGAAATCTGTGGGCTTTCCAGGAAGAGGGTGAGATTGTTGCTGGCAGGAGTGCTCCATAGGAAGAGGGTCTTGCTTGCTGTCCTCCTAAACACTACCCAAGATTCTCTGAGCAGGGCATGAAAACAACCCTCTCAAGTCACAGGAAACAGACAGAGAAGCAGGCAAGTATGGGGGACAGATGTTCTAGAAAACTGGATAGGCAAGAGGAGGAGAAAAAGACTGGTGTGAGGTAAAGGCTTCCTTTGAGAGCTGGGCTTTGAGAGGGAAACGTGGGCGTTTGTGTCACACGATGGCTTGGAGCAGGGTGTCTCCCTTCCAGTTGTTTCACCATTTCCACCTTCATGATCTCTTTCATGCCACACCACACACAAACGTGCTGCACATAAACAGCAAGGGGAGGGAATTACCGAGTAAGGATTTCTGCCCTCACACCCTGAATAGGTGCGGCACAGAACTAAGTCAGGAAGGGGCTCAGTAAGAGGTCTGTGCACACACACACGGGCATGGTATGTGTACTGCAGATGCAGATACTGACTGAGATGTAGGCTCATGCATAGACACGTTTCACTGAGTGCATGCATCCATTATAACATGGATACTACAGGCCCTAACAGATTGAGAGACAGATGTGTAGGCACACTCACAGAGAGAGGGAGGGGGAAGGAGCAATAAGGGTCATGATGAAGAATAAACCTGCAAGAACACACACACACACACACACAAACTCACATTCCCCCAAGCGCACATGCATTCTCATATGGAGAGAGACAAGCATACAGAGGAGCCAAGGTCATGGTAATGGGGGAAAAAACCTTCAAGTGTGCATATGTGCATGCAGAGAGAAGGAGAGGGGGAGGGAGGAAGGGGGAGGGAGAAAGAGAGAGAGAGAGAGAGAGAGAGAGAGAGAGAGGTGGAAAGATGGGGGGAATCAGGTCATGATGAAGAATTAGCAACATTATATCCTCCCTAGGTATATGCCCTAGTCTAGGCCACAGTAACAGCATTGGCCAAGTGACTGATAGCCCTAACAGGGTAGCTGCTCCCCAGTGTCCCTGAGCTTGCTTCTTTCACTTCCAACCACCACTCCGACCTCCAAGCAAAGTCAGAGAGGACAAACAAGTAAGGATTACCTGGAGGGGTCAGACAGGAGAGCAGCACTACCGCTTTGAGCTTTGCTCTCTGCCACTCACCTCTGAACCCCCGCCCTTTGCTTCTATACCTAGGCCATGTATTTTCTGAAATGGCTTCTCTTTCTCTTGCTCGTGAAGCCTTGTCTTCTTGTTTGGAGAGGTCATTTCTCCACTTACGTTGTTGTTTCTTTTTCCTGTCCGCATAAGAAGACAGTTTTCACTCACCTCAAGAGAACATCTGTATTCCCTGGGGATGTTTATCCACCGTTCTCTTTCTTCCATAGCAACTCTAGAAAACAGGAAAGCCAGGCATGCACTGCCCTCCTTTCTCTCCATGCTCTTTCTCCTCTTTAGTTCCAGATGAAATAAGAAAGCACCCGCTTCATAAAGGCAGTATAGACTTTAATTTAGGTTGACATGTGGGGAAAGAACTAGGATTTGCCTGAGAGGGCATCCACAAGAGAAGACTGTCTTGTAGGGAGGGACAGAGAAGGCAAGGATCTACGGGTGGTCTGGTAGCAGAATAGGGCCACGAGCAGGGGTGTAGCCACACAGTGCAAGACAGCCAGGGCTTCTGCCAGGTTCAGCATGACATCTAGAATCTTCTGGTAGAGACAGGTTTCCAAAAGCACGATTTTGGATCTCACCAAAGCATCAAATATAAGAACCATCCCATGAGGCCACCAGAAAATGAACCAGACCCATAGGACACTAACCCAGGGGCCTGGCTCCTTGCTCAATGCCTTCTTCAGCCCCTTGGCTGCCAAAAGAGCCAGTGGTAACACAGTAAAAATGGTAAAGCAGATTGCAGAATGCGTGAACTTCAAGGCTTCCAGGGCCCTGACGGGTGCGAGGGTGCAGACGCCATTGTAGACATCACTGGCCATGGTGACTGGCAGCCCTAACAGGGCAGCTGCTCCCCAAAGTCCCACAGTGAGTCCCAAGGTGAGGCCATGGATTTGACCTATACTCAGTCTGGGGTTCAGGCAGGCATAGCACCCTATCAGCAGAGCCTGGGCAAAAGCGGAAGTATACCAGACCCAGTAGCCCAGAAAACACAGGACTGTGCTATGGGAATGGTTTAACCCTGGTGCCAGGACAGGCACCGCAGTGCTGAAGAGGGCACTGCCTATTGCCAGCTGTGCCAGAATAGGCCAGCTGGGGCAGATCCGCCAGTGGGAGAGTGGTTTGAGAATCACGAACAGGACGGCACCACTTGCCAGCAAGCCCAGGAAACTGGTGAGGATGAAGAAGGGCAGTGAAGAATTATCAAGGAGATTACAGGAGTGGCAGGGGGCAGCTGCTTCAATGCTGTAGTTATCGTAGCTGTCAGTTGAGTCATAGGTGTTGTTTTCTTCATATGCATAATTCGACAAATCCAAAGTATACTGAGTTCCCGTCTTGTCTATTGGAAAGGAGGTTTCCACCTACAGGGTACACCCAGAAAGGACAGTCAGTCGGGGGCGGAGGGGAGATCTAACGCAACAATGAAGAGGCTAGAGTAGACTTGGGTTTGGAGAACAAGGGATCTGCCTCCAGGAGGTGGGTACAGCGGGCATGGTGAGAGCGGAAGCTGAGGGACCTGCAGGGTCAGAGCCACAAAGAAGCTTGGGTAGAGCTATGTGGAGATTTGGAGAAGCAGAAGGACAGAGAGAAAAGAGGAGACACCAGCATGGGACTGGCTATAAGGTGGAGGAGGAAGAGCAAACATGGACAGGAGGCTGAGGGAAGGACAGAGAAATGATTTTTGAAACAGAACAAAGAAGCACAGGGAGATGGTAAGGGAAAAAAAAGAAAGGGTATAAAATCCTGAGAAGACAGAGACAAGGGTTCTGGAGCACGGCCCCCACACTCACCGGGTGCAGACAGTTCCCCATGGCACAGCAGGCTCGGGGCAGGCAGAGTAAGGAACAAGGAGGCCTCTCTGTCAGCAGCTGTGACTCCGAGATAAGTGCCCAGGGCTAATGAACGCTCTCAGCTTCTGGGCAGAGCCTGGATGTGTGTGTGGGTCACACTCAGGAAACTACCCAACGCCTACTGCCTACTTAAACTTTAGGCCAACACAGGGGGCTGTCCGGGGGCTTCCTGTTTTGAAGTCAGATTTGACTGGTAGAATGGCCTCGAGAAAATAACACAGTGAGAGCCACAAAGGGGGAATTTTCCCAAAGGTGGCAAGGAAGAAGCCTTGTGAACTTTCCAGCAAGGGAGGATCCTTCAGGAATAAGGAAGGATGAGGGGCCAGGGGTGACATATGAAGCAGAGATAAGAGAGGGGAGCTGGGAAGTTGGAGTGACCAGGCATCTGATGACTCTCTCTGTTCTCTACTCCTTTGAATCAGATCCAAGGAAAGAGTTCAAAAGTTCCCGTTTGTGGGGAAGGTGTGCTAATGGCATTGGCTGTTGGCTCCACCCAGACTGAGAACATGCAGTTAAGTGGATGTCTTTTGTGTGTGGTGGAATGAGCCAGGGAATACACCTATTTATCTGTGTCCCTGGGTTCAGTATCAGTGTGCCCCCATCTGAGTGCCAGCTGCTAGGTGGTGCCTGGGTGTATGCCTCGCTATCTAGAGGTGTGGGTGCTTCAGTCTAAGAGGGACAGAAGATTGGAGGTCTGTCAAGTCCATGTAATGACTTTCCTTCAGGGAGCAATTGGGCATTTGCCTTACCACCTATGGACTCAACGAATGGGTCTCTCACACCAAGCAGAACACATGGTGTCTGACACATCAAAATAGCCTCTGGGGGACCATGGGACAGCTTACTTTGATGTGAGAGTATAGCCCACTGGGTAATCTCTATTCATTTTGATGTGAGACGTACAGACTATGAGACTGCTTCATTGGCTTGCCGCCTTTGCAATGAGTGGAGTTTTTGATGGGACATAGAATTTCTCTGGCCAGGAGAAATACAGAATCCATGTTCAGTAGGTGGATTTCCATTAACCCCCTCAGACTGAGGTGCAAAAGGCTGAGTACCCAGGTCAAGTTTCAGGCTTAACAGGAGGGAGACAGGAAGGTGGTTTGACAAAAACAGGTGAAGCTCTCCTTCCTGGAGGGTGTGAGTGGGGTCGTCACCTCCATCATGGTGTTGGCCAGCATTGCTGGGCAGAGGGTAACAGGATAGCAGTCGGATGACATGCCTCAAAACCAAATGTTCTCTGGAAAGCAAATGACTCAGACACTCTCTCCCCTGACTCCACACACAGACATTCCGGAGGGTGGCACGGCAAGGAAGCAGTGCCAGGTGCCTGGGACATGAGGACAGCCCTCAGTTACATGCAGCCCAGCCAGCAGTGAGAACAGCAGAAAGGAAGCAACCCGACCACACGGATAATCCAGATATATTGAGGGTGGTCCCTCTGAGATTAGCACAGGAGAGTTAGAAAGATTATAAAGATACACGATCCCCTTCCTGCTCCCTTCCCCCACCCCCACCCACAGACAGACACACACAGCACAACGGCCCCTCTCCCCCGTACAAATATGGCTTCTGTGTAATATGGACAAAGTGGTTCAGCTCGAAGAGGAGAAGTCGTTTTCCCAAAAGCGGGTGCTGGGAGATGAGGAGCCTGGACAGGTCTGGGGCCCAGGGCTCCCTTGCTGCTATAAGAGGAGAATCCCTGGCTTAAGTGAGGGGATGCCTGGGGTGCCCAGGACCCTAACCAGGGGCTGGAAGATTCACGAAAGTATTACCTGAACTGAAGGAATAGGCAGGCCTGCTGGATGGCAGCTGCCCCGGTTTGCACACCTGTTGTCAGAGCAGGGAGGACATGCTGGAGGAGGGGGAGAGTGATGCCAAGTGCATCCTGAGTCTGAGGGACAGACCAATCAGGATGGAGAGGGTGAGCGATCTCAACTCCACAGCAACCAGCGTGGTCATAGAAGGAAGACCGTAAACCAAAAGCTGAGATGGGGACCCAGTCCTCTAGTCCCTGGGTACAGAGGATGGGAATCTAGAGTCAGTGCCAAGGAGAGACTTGAGGGGTGCATAGCAGAGGCTGTGGCCCTGGCTCCATGGCTCAGAGATGGGAGGTCCAGGGAAGGGTGGTGAATGTGTGGTGTTTCACAGAGGGACAAAACGCACAGCTGGGCAAACCACATCTTGGGACTCCCCCCCCCTCTCAGATAGGCATCAAGAATGGTTTGGAAATGACTAGGATGGAGCAGCCCTCCTAGATGAGGTACAAACCCTGACTAGGAACCATTCACTCCCAAAGCCCACCTCATGCCTTACGTGATCCATGCCCTGGTGCCCACCCAAGATCCCTGGTCCTCTTCAATCCCTTTACTTCTTGCTCACACAAACACACATGTACACACATTCATGCACACTTACACACACTTACACACAGAAACAGACACACACACACACACATGCACAAAGTTCACATTATTCCCTCGGTTTGGGCAGGAAACAGCTCACTGCAATGAAGCTCCTTTTAGTAATTTTGTTGTCATGTCTGCCTGGCTGCTGAGGGAGGAGGGGCCGAGGGCGGGCACAGGGAACAGGAGAGGGCACAGGGTGACACAGGCGGGAGGAGTAGTTGCTGAGCAATGCCATGAGAGGAGCGGTTGCCGTGCAACAGTCCAGGGTCTTGGGTAAGAGTGAGGGGCCCCGTGCGAGGTGGGGGAAGCAGACGCTGTCCAGGCCCAGAAGCTGTGCCTCTTTCACAACTGCTAGGAGAGAAAGCTGAGCTCTGCTGTCCACCAAGGGCCAATTCTGTGAAAAGAGCCTAGCTTCATTCATCGTGTGGGGGCAGTGGATGGACAGGGCCACTTTCTCCATCCTCTCTCTGAAAATCTGTTCTCTCTGGGAGGGACATGTTGAAGCCCTGGATCCCTGTGTGGCTGCACGCCATCTTCAGTTCACATCTTCTTGAGGACTTTCCTACTCATTCCTTTCTTACGTAATGCAAGAGGGATATCGGCTTGACGCCCGTCTCCCTCTCTGTAGCTCACAATACATGGCTGGCAGAGGTAGAGCCGCCCCCACCCCCTGCTTCCATTCCCAGGCTCCTCGGAGACACCTGGGAAGCTGGTCTGCTGTGAAAATGGAAGGAGGGCTATCTTGAGCCCCCACCTGCAAACCAGCCCTGCTCCGCATTCGTTTCTCATCCCTCCAAATTCCTTCTCTGCGCACTGCACATGCGCTGCTCTCCTCACCCCCATGGCCCCTGCCTCTCCAGTCTTGGAGACGGATTTGATTTGGGATTGTTACAAAAATAATAATAACCCAAACGCAGAGAAGCCACGGAAAGGGCTGAGGGCAACCCACCCCACCCCCCCCCCCCCCCCCCCCCCCCCATTCCAAACCGAGTACAAACCCCCACCCAAAGCAGACATTCTGTACAGGGGGCTGGGTGGGCTGGGGAGCAAGCGGGAGGGGCGGCCCTGGGGTCGCTCTGTACAAGTTCAGGTTGGTAACAGCCCAGCAGTCCCCATGGGGCCCCTGTGGGGCACAGGAGGTGAGTGGGTGCTCCTAGATGAAGTACTCCTTCTTGTCATCCCCGCCTGACTGCCCGCCTTCTGCGTTGATGATGGCCGTATCTGCATCTGGAGCATCGTCGGAGCCCTTCGCTTCGTGTGTCAGGTAGGTTCCTGTGTGGAGACAGAAGCTCCTCTTTGCAGAAGTGTCTCTGCCTTTGAAGTCCACCCTGCCCACGTCCCTACCCACCCACTCACATAGCGCTCATCTCGTCTTTCTCTTGCCTGGAGCTTTCTTCCACCCAGCCTTCTCTTAATCTGCATTTCACTGCCAACATCCCTCACCTGACCACACCCCCATGAATAATGAATCCTACCCTTAACTAAAATCTCATCTATAATGTAGGCAAGAAATAAAAGAGGGGTGTGTGTGTGTGTGTGTGTGTGTGTGTGTGTGTGTGTGTGTAGGCGCACACGCGTGCACATGTAGTGGAGATAGGACTTAGGCACGACCAGTCTAGGCAGTTAGGCTACTGGCTGCACGTCGTAACAAAATAGAAGGGAAAGTGGAACAGATAGAGAAAAAAAAAAGGTATGTGTGAGGATGAAGAAGAAGGAGATCAAAGAAAGAAAAGGAAGCCAAAGAGATGGCAAAGAAGGCAAAGGCAAGAAGGAAGGAGCCAGATCAAATGCAGAGCAGCAAGGAGCAGCTGACTAAGTGGGCAGGTCTGATTGTACTTGGATGTTTACCAGGTGCCAGGCTTGACTGTGGGGTTGCTGCTGCTCAGTGATCACAGCATTGGCATTGCATGGGTTGGCTGTATTTCTTTTTCAGACACCCTAAGGAGTCTACAGGGACCTGCCTCTTACTGTCTGTCCTTTCCTGACTGGTCTCCCCACCCACCCACGTCCTCCTGATCAATGCCTCTGACCTTTGTGCCTGATCAGATAGTGTCCAAGGAAGATAAGCAGAATGAGCAGCAGGAAGACAATGAAAGCCACAATCCCTCCGATGATGGCGTGGTAGGTACTGGAGGATGAGGGCACTGGACTGGGGTCTGCAGGGAGAAGAGGCATAGAGTTAGAACTGGGACGGTGAGGACCTTCAGCTCCCATGCTGATTTGGCCCTAGATAATATCACAGAAGAGACATCGACTTCAGGGGAATCCAGGAGGTGTATGCAAGCACAGGGACCATGCCTTAGTCTGTGCTCAGGTGAGTATCACCACGCTGGCAATGTAGTGATTCTTAAAAGAAAAAATGATGTATTCATCAGGCAATAAAACAAACCAGCTCTCACTCCACTATCCACGTTGCTTTCTTGGCATCAAAGCTTGACCTTAATCAGAGATAATTACTTTAATGGCTGTGAGCAATATCAAAATTCTCCCCTTCCTCCTTTTTCTCCACCCCCCAGTCTATTGTCCACCTCTGTCTCTCTCTTCTCTCTCTCTCTCTCTCTCTCTCTCTCTCTCTCTCTCTCACACACACACACACACACACACACAGAGAGAGAGAGAGAGAGAGAGAGAGAGACATCTGTGTTTTTTTGATCCTTAACTATCTCTCATGTCTCCTCACATCCTGTCTGCTTTTCTGCCCTAGTCCCTTTAGGGGCTTCTTTGCCACTCTGCTAGTCTTAAGATCAGCAGATGGGGAAGAAACAGTGAAAACTGATGGAGCCAAGATTAAGAGTTGGAAAGCACCTTGCAAAGAAAATGCTGGACTGTTCCACCCTGTATAAAACTTGTAAGTTTCCCTAGAGAGCAAGGTAATATAGTCTGATGTGAATTAGAAACTCATCTTCCTTCTTTAGGATGAGCCCAGGACCTCAACTCTACCCTGGAATCTTTATTCCAGCCTGGGCTGTGACCTAGACAACTGCCTTATCCCATAGCATTTAGTATCTCTGCTCCCAGGGATTTCATTCTTTCTTCTTTAAGCTCCCCAACCCACATGCTCTTAAACATATCTGGTCTTTTTCTTCAGTAATTCCTTCTTGGCAAGGAAGACGACTTATTCAATAAAACCCAATCTTCTGACCCATCCAAGGAAAGAGGCCTAATATTTCATCTCTACTCTGACATCATCCAAAAGTTTGTGCACAAGACTGGTTTGCTTTCTCCTGTGGTGTTGGTGTTCTTCCACTCACTACACAAAATTCGCCATCCATAATAGGTGTGGACTGATCTCGTAGTACAACCTGGACCAAGAGTGTCAATAAAATCCTTAACCTTGGTCAGAAGGCCAAATGTCTGTGGATAAGTGCACAAACCCAGGACAGTTCTGACATCTCCACGATTACGTTAGCCGCAGCTATAACTCCCCCACCCATGGGAGAGCTCCTGTTATTCCTTGAATCCCGCTTGAGTCTTGCAGCCTCATTGACTCCTAGACTTTTTTTTCTTCCCTACCTCATGTTTCCCCAGGCTTGACTGGGCCAGCTTTTTAGTTCCTTGACTTCCAATGCCTTATTTGAAAAGAAAACATATGTACTTCTCTTTTTAATGTTCTGCTTGGGAGGGAGATGGAGGATGGACCAGGAGTTCCATGATGGGACAGGGGTGTTGACATGTTGCAGGGCAAGATGACTGAAGAAACATGAGATGCAATCCACTGGGAAAAATCAATCCTGGATATTTACTCCGGAAGATAGAGAAGCAAAAAAGTTCTTGAAAAAAAAGACTCACAGTCTTCCGCTGTCAAAATGACTTCTGGGGTTGTTAGCAACCACCCTCTGTCTGCAGGTATAATGCACCTTGCTTTTCATTTCTGGGAGGTCTTCACTCAGGAAGATTCCTGAAGAGGTTGCAGTAACTCCTTTCACCACCAGGCGTCAGCACTGGTAGCAAACACTAACCTACTCCTGCTTAGCTTTTTATCCCAGGGCAGAAGGATCAACAAGATACCAACTGCAGGGCATATTAATTTTCTTTCACTGCCGGTAGCCACCAGAAATGGTCTGGAAAGATCCAGGGGATGAGTCGAGATCTCAGAGCCTTGTTGTAGCTCTCAGAATCTTATACTAGCCCTGTTGTGCCGAGCGGCTCCCCATAGGGTGAAAGGTTGAATCAAGAAGTAGACATTCTGGTCTCAAGCACTTAACCCTCTTTCTCATGCCTGAGAACCTGGGTGTTAAGCATCCCTGCCTCACTGAGCATTTCAAATGAGGAAAGACCCTGAAGTTTCTTCAGCACTTCCTCTATTCTGTAGAAAGATTTGAAGACTTTCTGGAAGGACATCAATGGCATTGATGTCTTTCAAAGAAGAAAAAAAAATTCCTTACCAGCTCCCTCTAAAGCCACAAAGTGACAGCTTTCCTAGCTTGTCACTTCCCTTGAAGCTTGGTTTAAATATAGTGTGTGTGTGTTTGTGTGTGTGCGCGCGCACATGTCTGTGAATGTGCATGTGTGTGCTAATGTACACTGTATGTCTGTGCACTAACTGTAGAGGTCAGAGGAATACCATCCACCTGATTCTTTGGGACAGGGTCATTGTGGTCATCTCTCACTAGCAGAGAGCTCATCAAGTACGATAGGCCGTCTCTGCCGCCCCAGCACCGGGATTACAAATGTGAGCTCCCACACCTGTTTTTGTTTGGCTCCAACTGGCAGGGACTCGACTGAGCAACCCAACATTCTAGGCACCTGGTGGCTCCAATTTTTGAGAAGCACTTCAGAAAGAAGCCATCTCTTGTCCCTTAGGAAGGTGAAGCACCAGAGAAGAGACTCGGGCCATCTCTCAGCATAGCGCATGCTTGTTCCTTTTGTTCTTTGCCAAACTCTAATGCACACAGGGTCCTCGGGAAGGAAACAGGTGGCAGTGACGCATATGCTGTAGCTAGTCCTAGGAGGAGGAGCTCTTAAGTAAGCACACCTGCCGTCAGGAGGGGCCTCTAAATGAAAATGGCATTCTCCCCGTTAGGTGGTAAAGACGGTTTCAGAGGAGCCACTGCCTGCAGAGAGAGACGGTGGGAGCCCATCTTTCTTATGGTTACATTAAGAAACAATAAGGCTTACCATTGTTACACATCCCTGGGGCCTAAGGGCAGTGCCTTCTGGTAGCGGGCATTTTTCATCCACCCTACTGCCACTCAAGGGGATGCGGTTGCCATCCGGAGCGCAAGAGATGGCCAACGAAGGGAGATGTTGGAGGAGAGAAGCTGAAGTGACTCACCATTGACGTTGAGGGTGAAATAGGCTGTGTAGCTGCCCATGTTGCTGGTGGCTGTGCAGCCGTAGGTGCCACTGTCGCTCTTGTTCAGGAAGGGGAAGATGAGAGCCCTCTCTTGGGTCATCTTCAGGGGTGGCTCGCTGCCTTCCTTTACCCACAGGTACTGCTGGGGACTGTTGAGATAGAAAGATGGGAAGTACTCAGGATGGCCTGGAAGAAAGGGCTGGAATAATTAAAAACAACCTGGTAGCAGGGAAATCAGAAACTGCATAGTGAAGTTTAAGGGTAGGTGTTGGTGGAGGTGTCTTGGGTATAATTTAGAAAAGGCAGAGATGTTTTGAACCATATTTTACTGTGACTTTGTTCCTTAGGGGAACAGAAGGAGCTGAGCAAGGGAGCGCTCCAACCTCACTTCTGCTGTAGAAATAAAGGAGAAGCCCTATTGTACAGCTAGGGGACCATTGTTATGCCTCAGCAGGTACCCAGGGGATGGGGGTTATCAGAGAGAGAAGAGGGGTATCAGAGACCACGGACTGCTCTTCTTACACTGGATTGCCACGCCCCTCACAGTGTAGCAACAGCTTCTGGCCTTCCCGGGGATGCGCAGGCTCTGGTCTAATCAAGGCTGTCGGCGTGTCTGTGGAGAAGCACAGGATAGCAGCGCCAAGCTCCTCACTCTGCATAGGAGATCCCTAAACCTGTGGGAATCGCCTAGTTACATGTTATAGATTCTCCTGAAGTCTCAGAAGTGTGAGAGGCTGTGAACAAGTCCTTCTGCCTCCTGGCTCTTGTGAACATGGACTATGAGGGCCACAGACCGAGAACAACCTGGTGTACCTCAACCTCTGAGTGATGGCATTCCAGCAGGTCTGTCCTTGGTGGGGGCCTATGGGATGTCTTAGCAGAGCTGAGGAGAACCCATGGTTTATTCATGCCTAGCAAACTGCCTGGCACCTAGACAGGATCTAATACATATTTTTAAAGGAACAAAGGAAGTGAACTTGACACTGACTGAGTCCACAACCTCTCAACTCTGTCTGCTCTGTGAGGGAGCTTGAAGTGAAAGCAATGCCTGAACACAAAGCATCCCTTTGAACGGTCAGCCCAAACATGGAATGAGAGTATAGAAACAGCAAGGGGCGAGGGTCAAATTTTGGCTGAAAAAAAAAAAAAAGGCCTGAGACAATATGGCTGGCTCTGTGAGAGAATAATGACATCTGTCAATGATGCCAAAAGGCTGCTTAGGAGGCTGGGTCCAGATGGCGGCTTAGAACAATGTGACCAGATGCTGGTTTGGAACCACAGATAAAGAGGATGTGCTATCCCTAAGGAGAGAGCCAACCTTAACAAGCAGTTAATGAACATGCGTCCGTTAATCACACAGGACAAAGAGAGACAGGTCAGGTGAGAAAATGGGTATTCTGGGGCTTCACAGCCGAAGAGGCCTCTAGCATAGCACCTGGAGTGGGGCATTTGTTGACTGACTGCTGATCACAGGCTGAAGAGTAATTGCCAAATGGCCTGGTTTCTAAGAGAGGACTCTGTGGGGCTCCAATAGTATATTCTTCAGTTACGGCTGGGGACCAGGGTTCAAGAGAACTGCCCAAGGCCCAAGACCTCACGCTTAGAACTAGTAAATACAGAAATACTTTATAGCAAGTTAGAACTTGGAAGTTAATAGAGTTCTTCCATATATATTATTCCATTTATTCTCAGTATAATTCAGCGGAGTAAGGCAGATTCACCTAGATATTAAATGCTTTGGTGAAGCCAATAGAGCTAGTACGTAGTAACCATACTCGCTAGGAGGCCTGTCCATTGAATGTCATCCAAATGGACTATGGTACTGCCCAAAATTAACGAATGTTAAAGTTTGAATAAAGGGTCTAGCCACTGATTAAATGGCACCGAAATTAATCAGCTTGTGTCTTCCATAAGGAGATTAAAAGCTATCACTATTTTTGAAAATCCCCAGCTTTTTGGTAAATTGGGAAAGCAATGCATGGCTGTACACGCCTCTATGCTTGACTTCCACACTTCCATTCCTCCTTTTCTTTTCCACATGGAAAAGCTCCTTTGAAAGGCTTCCAGATTTCCCCAGAGGAGAAACCTGCAGAGACGCCAGCTTTTCAGGCATTCTTTACTGGCACTAAAGACAGAGTCTACGAAGAGGATGCAGAGGTGTGGAGAAAGTGCGAAGCAGCGAGCCCTGGGCCACCTTAAGTCACAATCCCAAGAAGAAGCGTGGAAGAGGGCCAAATAGAGATGTGACTGAGAGGTAGAAGTCCTTGGAATGCTGCAAGACCGGAGAGAATTGTGCCTCGCTTCCACCCACAACTCTTGGCATGACAGAATGTTAGAGTGAGAAGAAGCCATAAGGATATCCCAGCTCACCTCTCTCGTTTCAGAGGGAAACAACCGCGATCAGTGGAGGAGAGCTGTCTTCACACCACAGAACCAGCGTGGCGTGGAGTACAGACTAAACTACAGCCTGAGACTCTGGGTTTGGTACTCTTACCACCGTTAAGTTACAGCCTCACTCCATTTCACCAGCGTAGCCCAAGGGCTGGTAAACTTGGCCCCTGGGCCAAGTCTTGCCAGTTGCAAGCTTTAGTAAATAAAGTTTTATTGGAATGCAGCCCAACTCATTTGTTTACGCTTTGTCTGTGGCTGCTCTCCAGCGGCACAAGCAGAGTCAACTCAGTGAGACAAAGACCTCAGCTCCCCAAGCCTTCCGTGTTTGCTATAGGGCCTGCTTTACTGAGGCTTTGCTACTTTTGCTAAGCCTATTGCCTCGTGTGTAGCCAGCAGCACGCTTTTCTTTTCCTTACTCCCTACCTCACACCTGGTCCTTCCCACCCCAGAGCCCATGACATACATAAAACTTCAATGCGCTGAGAGGTGACTCTGTCAGCTCCCTTTAGAGATTCATGGTTCACAGAGCAGACGATGCTCGCTCCGTCATCTTCCCGGGTAACCTGGAATGACACTGAGCTGCTCACAGTGAAGGTTTTTCCATTAACATCTTCCTGGACTCGTGTTTGTTCTCCTAGAATGCAGAAAAAGGCAGACAGACAGAAACACACACACACACACACACACACACACACACACACACACAGGAGATACATTGTCAGTATATACAAATAGACTGTATCTTAACATCCAGACACTGTCTGGGCCCCACAGATTCTATCTTGGACAGACCCAGAAAATGTTTGAAATGGATATGAATGTGTAAAGAGAATGTAGATCCTGACACACACATATCCACAATGTCCCTGCCCTTCACTTTCTTCATCTCCATTATTTCTTATGTGTCATATACACATATATTGCACCACCCCATTCCCTGCACCACCTCATTTCTGCAACCCCGTGGCAGGAGCTACTCACCGTGGAGTTCTTGGTCACCTTTCCTCCAGGTGAGCTGGGCTGCAGGCTTGCTCCCAGAAGACTGACAGTTTAGAGTGGCTGTCTCCTTTTCCCGCAGGGATGACTTATAACCAGTGATTATGGGCTTCTGTGGGATTCCTGCAATGGAGAGGGGATGGCCAGGATAGGAAGGAGAGGCACCGTGAAGTCACACTTCCAGTTCTCCCTGTAGATATGTCCGCTATAAGAGGCAGAATATCTGAGCTCTGCTTTGGTTTAGACCAATGGGTAGAAGCACAAAGGGTAGGTGCTCTCTTGGATCTAGTTCTTGAGGACAAGATGGGAAGACTAAGGTGAGGAGGTATGATAGTTTAGGAGGAGTGGTGATGCTGTGCCTGAACATGATAGTGACTGGATGTCCCAGAGTCCAGCTAGGTGGCCATGCATAGTAAAAGGCCCAGAGAAGTGGAGATGTGAATTAGAATCCAGGATGAAGATAACTGCATTCAAACAACTGAAGAGCTTTTCTTGGAAATTAAAATAAGATATTTTATATAGATCTTGTGTCTCCACATGGAATTTTCAGAGTGAAGGAGAATGACCATTCCCTGCTATAAATTGTGAAGTTTATGCTTAAAGAGATTTGTTCCAGAACAAATAGTAAGTACAGCAGATCAGAACTCTGCTTTTCTCGTATTTAGAAGAGAGCGTGCAGACCTTTTCTGATATTATTGGAGGCCTGCATGGTTCTGGGAGGCTTTGGGGGATCAACTGAGGGAGATTTGTTGGCAAAGCAGCGTGCCGCAGAGACACAGGGGTTGAGGAGCCTCACCTAGCACAGTGACAAGGGACTTGGCAGTTCGCACAGGCATGGTGAAGATGGAGCAGGTATATTCGCCCTCGTCTGCCAGCGCCACATTGCTGATGCTGATACTGAGCTCGTGGGGAGTAGATCTAACCAGCTGAATCCGATTATCTCGAAGAGCTGGGGAAATCAGAATGGAGAGTCAGGGTTCTACCAGGACCTTGCACGCTTATCTTCTACTGCTGTGCTAACGTCATTGAAGGGAGGGGAGGAATGATGGGGATGGGAGACAAAACCGAAAGAAAAGAAAATGATAAACAAAAACCCCAACCAAAACAAACAAACAAAAAAACCATCTTGAATTAGGACAGAATCATTCCGTGATTTTCATGAGCCACTCAACATGGTAGCTTAATAGACCAATATTATAGTCTATATTTTGTGTAATTACTTAGGAAAAGCCTGGGGCTGCCTGATATCAGTGCTTCTTTGGGGCTTGGTGCTCCAGCACCTTATGAGGCTATAAGACCTATAAGACTATGCATGGCTAAGATCAGAGCTAGAGTGCTGGTTTCTCTCTGCAAACAACAGAGGAGCCCACAGTTTATGGCTTTTTCAAAGAACTTGCCTTGTGCTTCTCAGCCTCTGGACTACAAAGATAGCCTTAGCCTCTGCTGTCCCTCTCTCCTAGCCCATGATTCCCATGGAGAAAGCTCACTCAGGAGACACTACCTCTCTTCTCCCCAAAGTAGAGCGTCTGCTGGGCAGGATTAGACCACTGTAGGGACGAGTCTTCATGGTCTTTCACTTGACACTTGAGCACCACGGTGCCACCAGCCACCACTGTTTCATCAGAAGTCCAGGGCTGGCTATCTGCAGGAGCAGAGCAGAGTCAGTTTCATAGAGTCCCGAGGATGTCTACCCATGACTGGGCCACAGCCAGCCTCTGCTAATTTATTGTCCCCAAGGCTCTGCTCTCTGTCTACGCTTGAGGCTTCATGAGTGAAGGGATAGAGAGGTGGTTGTGGCACTCGAGGGGGAGACACACCTGATCTTCTCTCTCACTGTGGACACACAGAAAGCATCACCCCTTGCTGAATGTTGGATGAACGGGCAGGGTCACAAATGCTAAAAGGATAAAGGCACCCAGATCTAAACATACTACTCCATATGTATCCTTTTAGGTATGGTTCTAGCATCCATCGTTGAGAACACACATACATATCTACCACCCTGTGTTCTGCCTTCTTGTTACCACTTATTGTAAGAGCAAAACCATTAGAAGCAATTATGACTACTAATCTAAGACCGAAATGGGGGAAAAAAATCTAAACCAGATCTTAGTGTGTATCCCTTCATCCACACAAAAAGAGCAAAACAAACCAAACAGAAATTAAAAACAGAAACATTTTAGCGTACTTTAAAAATTTTCAATAATATTCTCAATCCAATCATCAAATTCATCATCAGTTTTCACTATTATTATTAATTATTGTAGCTGCTGTTGAGACAAGGTCTCACTATACAGTCCTGGCTGGCCTGGTATTTACTATGTATTCATGATAGTCTTGAATTTACCAAAGTCCTTCTGCCCCTGCTTTCTAAGTGCTGGGATTATAAGCATGCACAACCACATCCAATTATTTGCTCTCTTTCCTGGTAACTCTTCCTGTCTCCCCAAATTCAAACCCAAGTTACCACCCTTGTATCATTTAAAGAGTAAAAGACTGAAGTTTCTCCCACTCATTGTGCTGAAAACATATTTTATAATTCTTCTCTCCTTAGAGAAATGAAACAAAACACAGACTCAGTTGATAAGAGTCCTTGCCTAGCATCCAGGAAGCCCTAAACTGGATACCCAGCACTGTAATGATTGATTGTGATGGATCACATATGTTAACCCATTACTCAGGAAGTAGAGACAGATGGCCAGAGGTTGTAGGTTATCCTTGGCTACATACTGAGTTTGGGATTAATTTGGACTGCGGACACTCTATATTAAAAATAATATACACAAACACACACACACTCACACACACATGCACACAGAAAGAGAGAGTGGAAAAAGGATGGAGGAAAGGAAAGAAAGAAGGAAGAGAGGGAGAGGGAAGAAGAAATCCAGGTATCTTTTGGATAGATCAGTTTAATGCCAAATCAACCTTCTCCTCAGGCCTAGCTGTGAACCTCTCCAATACTGACATCTGTTTCCACCACCAGGTCTTGTGCTCAGTTCTCACAGCATGGACTCTGATTCCTAATATTGATTCCCTCATCTTCAGAATTGCTTTTAGTGACCCAACATCAGTGACCTCCTCAGAACTAATCTAAAATAATCACCTCCCTTCTCTGCTTCAGGAGCATCCAAAAGTCTGTTCTATGTCACCAAATTCCTCAACCAGCAATATTCATTGCTCAGTAGGAAACCAGAAATCATGCGAACCACATCCTCTACAGAGCACTATAAAAACAAACAGATGTCCTGAGCGGTGGTGGCGCACGTCTTTAATCCCAGCACTTGGGAGGCAGAGACAGGTGGATCTCTGCGAGTTCAAGGCCAGCCTGGTCTACAAGAGCTAGTTCCAGGACAGCTAGGACTGTTAAACAGAGAAACCCAGACTCGAAAAACTAACCAACAAACAAAATAGATGCTCCCTTTACCTCAGATTGATCCCACCTGACTTTTCTAGTCACCTGACTTGCATTTCCAGGAAATATACCCTGAGTGATACTAGTCAAGAGAAGGCCCTCAGAAGGGAAGGCATGCTGAAAATTATGCCAAGCAAGATACACCGTTAAGGACTGGTAGTTTCCGAATTGGAGTATGAAGCCTGATGTTTAGTACTGCCTAGAACTGTAGAAGCTGGAAGTGAGGGAGCCACTGGGGCCAGGAATCCAATTCCCTCATCTCCTAGACACAGGCAGCAAGGCAACAGAGGCGAAGAGACTCCTAAGATCAGCCCACCAGTTCTCAACACTGTAACTCTGTTCTGTCCTCAACAAGCAGCTGTTGTCATTGGAATTCTTCCTGAAGTGACCCTCTGAAAGGAGAATTAAGACTATAATTGGATTTTGCGATTGTTGTGTAGCCACTAAGCAAATTTGAGAGTGAAATTTTCTCAAAATTTCTCAATGGAAAGTGACTGAGGCCCTTCGTTTGCAATAGACACATATCAATCTCCAACCTCTAAATCCCTCTGTCCTTGTCTCACTTGAAGAATTCCTCTTTGACAATGTCTTTCCAGGACCTCTTTGTTTTTGAGTAATCCATTTCTCCCAGGCATCTTATTTTTGGAAAGAGGTGTAGGGTTACAGAGGTCTCTGTGCCAGAGTGAGAGAGGGAGTTGGTGCATGGAAATGTGGTGGTGGATGCGGAACTGAGGACTAAATGTCAAATGGGAAGGAGGAAGCTGTGTGGTGATGAGAGGCGTGAGAACATGGGGTGGAGGTACCACGACTGGGAGATGATGTGAGGATGGGTGAGAGGCATCTGGAGAACACTGAGATGAAGGGCCTGGTTTCTCACCTTGACTGGCCAGCATGTCAGGGCTGCTCCAGACTGTGGAGCTGAGGGCCTCGTCCAGTGGAGCCAGAGTTCCCAGCTCCAAATCCTGCTCCTGCCAGTAGCCTGGGGAGAGAACCTGCATCAGGGGTGAACCCTGTGCACACTACTATAGCTTGTGTCTACCCTTCCATTGTGGGGGTGTGGGAGGGGCTAGGCCCCTATGGAAAGTGGCTTCACCAACATACCTAAGAGAAAGTGAGACATTAGCAAGAGTTCTGGAAAAGGGAAAGATTCTCCTCTGACAGGCCGTTTAAAGGAGGATGATAACGGTTTTATCTGTCAACCACGTAGTGTGAGAGGCAAAGAGAACTTGGAGACCATTCAGCCCAGTTTTCCCACTTCACAGATGAGGACAAAGAAGTCCCCAAAAGACTGAGAGGGACTCACTACAGAAAAATGGAAACTGAAAACAAAACAGCCCATTATAAACCCCTTATCCAAGATTCTTTTTGTTGTACCACATTATCTAGTAACACATTAGAGCATATGATCACATTTGATTCCTTCCCTTGACCTAGGAAAAGTGCTGGTATCACCATTCCTGTTTTGCCGGGTGGAAGCAGAATGAATTGACTTATCCAAAGTCACACAAATTAAGTAGACACTAGAAATGAAATGCCTGCTTTCAAATCTGATGCTCTTTGTTATAAGGTGAGACACCTTTCTGGTTGAAGAAAGACTGAAGTTGGGGCTAGATGTTGCACTACACATTGCCAGAGTCTTACCCTCTGCGCTCAGATTCTAAGTTTTCATACTAGGTTCCCAGGGCTCTGCCTCACTGAAACTGTACTTCGCTCTGAAGCAACCAGACCTTGTTACCCGGACAATAGTCACCACTTCTCTTAGGACTAGATCGCTGTTATGCTGTCTTGTGAAACACAGTAGTGTCTGGGGTTCACAGCTCCTAACCAAATGGAAAGAGCAGAGGGACAAAGAAACCAGCTAAGTCCCACTGCAAGATCTCCCGCCACAGAGCCCTAGAGCGGCCAATCAAATCGTGCAAAACCAGTGAGATCATCAGCTGCTGAGCAGACACCGGAGTTGCTTCTCTTCCTGGGACAGCGTACAGTGAGAAGTTTGTCAAAGGTCCCTACAGGCGCCACAGTCTGGGTGGGGGTAGGGAGGATAAGAAGGTAGAGGTGGGGCTAAGAGAGAGCAGGTGGGTGGGTCAGAACTGAAAAAAGACTAAAGTGGGGTGTGGACTTCTCCAGAGAAGAAAGGAGAAAGCACTAGGGTGAGAGGATTAATTGGAAGAAAAAGAAAGTAAGTCGGTGAGGGGAAAAGAGAGAGAAGACGGAGTAGCCCAGAAAGAGGGTGAGGGAGAGGAAGGAAGAAACGGGGGAAGGAGAAAGGAGAAAGGGAGACTCCTAGCATCAGATAAAGCTCTAAGAGAGCTTTTGGGGTTGGCGGGCTGCAGTGTAGACAGTTGCCTTTCCCACTGCTCCTGACCTGGCTCTCCCAGAAGATTTGGGAATTTACTTGGTTCTGAGTGACATTAAGAGACCAGGTGCATGTCTAATAGGAAAAGAAGAATTGATGAAGACAGGCAAAAGAGGCGAGGATGAGAGAAAAAGGAGGGCAGGGCTCTCAGTTTCAGCAGAGAGGCAGTCTTGGGGTGCAGATCCCTCATCCTGGGAACACCAAGGGTGAAGACGACTGGACATTGGTGAGTGTTTCATATTATTTTACAGGTTATACATTTTGGAGTGTGCTGTGCCAACATCAAGTAGGAAACAGGGATTGATGGTGCTAAGGCATGGGCCGCTTGAGGGACAGGGAGGAGCAAGGCAAGCGGTCTCAGCGCCCTCATAGGGCATCGGTAACCCAGCACACAATCTAAGAACCACAACACAAGCTTTTACTCAAATGGACCGAGGAAATAGCCTTGTCATTCTTCAGTGTGGGACTTTCAGTTTGCAGAGCGGATTTTCACCCATGATTTCATTTAATCTCAAAACAATTGCTAGCGGTAGGCAGCCAGATATAATCACTTTTAAAGTTGACATCCAAAGAGGTTCCTTGGCTCACTGAAAGGAACTCAAATAGCACAACTCTCAAGAACCCCCTCTACCCCTTGTGGGGTTCTCAGCTTCTAACGCCCCCTGTTTTCCAGAGCCTTTGCACACTTCACTGGGATGTGCTTGGTCCCCAGGCTCTGTGTTTAAACTCTGAGGTGATTGGGGGCAGAAACATCACCATTTTCACCTACATTTTTTTAATTGCCCATCCTGGTGAGCTCTTGGTGCATGTGACTTGTCTGGTGATTTGCTACCTCGGCACCAGGCATTCTGCACCTTAACCACGTGGAGCCAGTGTCTGGTCTCCTGTCTCCTGCTTCCTACATCTCTACTTTCATCTGCATCTTCCTCAGTGACTTCTCTCCTTGCTCATGCTTGTCCGTCATCTCCCCATTCCCACTTCTGTATTTTTCTTTTTTCCCCCCTCTGCACAGGATAAATAAGTCAAATGGTGATGTACATCGGTTAAACACAGCTGAACTGTTCAGAGGCAGAAAACAACAAATAACCTTCAATAAATGACATGTTTGGGGTGTGTATGATTTATTGCCTCTATATGTTTGCAGAGAATTCACTTTGGTTTGTAGTATTTTAGGAAACTGTTTAAGACATGGCTGGGGCATTGCTTCCCTTTCTATGGCAGTGTGCGTGACAGATCTCCTAATCCTGAAATGTACTTTTGATCTTCTATCTCTAGTCTTGGGAATTCTGTTAGCATGTCTGAAAGTTACCTGATTTTATAAAATTGTAGGCTGCTGGTGATAGATTCTGAATGGCCATTCCTATCGGAGCAGGTGATCAGTTGAGTGATTGCAATGCTATCATCAGGAGTACGGATAAGTAGCCCAAATTATAAACCGGTTTATGAAAAGCTTGAGCTATCTTTGGATGAAAATTGTGCCAGTCATTTATGACATCACCATGATATCCCTCAAAATGTTTGGACAGGAAAGGGATGAAACTGAGGAGTATTCTAAAGGGGACATATGGACTTTTTGAAGTGGGTTAGTAAGGATTCTACTCAGGGACCTTGGAGGGAGCTGCTGGCACAGAGCCACTGGTGAAGAGCACCCTCCCTATGTGGGGAGAGCCATGAAGGAAAGAGAAAAGTTCCAGTCTTGATTGTAAGAGTTGGGGAACATCAGTCTTATTAGTCATATTGTTATCTGCTCACATACCTTCTCTGACTTTCCATTCTCTCTCTCTCTCTCTCTCTCTCTCTCTCTCTCTCTCTCTCTCTCTGTGTGTGTGTGTGTGTGTGTGTGTCTAAGAGAGAGTTGAATGCGGGTTCATGAGTATGTGCCTACATGTACATGCAGCTGTGCATGTAGATGTCAGGAGCTAACATGGTGTGCATTCTTTGCTCATTCTCCAGCTTATATTTTAAAAACTAAATTTATCTGGGTGAGGTGGGGATGCATGCCATAGTGTCTGTGTGGAAGTTGGAAAAGAACTTTTTTCTACAATGGTGTGCACCTGCCACCCCAGCCACTGGTGCTGGGTGTCCAGATACATGCTGCTATACCAGGCTTTTTACGTCAGTGCTAAAAACCTGGATTTAGGTTCATAGCAAGTTCTTTGCTGAGTCATATACCCAGCTGACTTTACATTTTCTGTAGATAATACCCACATTGGTTAGCCTGGCCTTCCAGGTCCTATACAGTCCAATGTCAACTCACCTATAAACTTCGTCTTTTCTCCATTTCACTGATCCTGCATTCTAGACGTAGGAGCTATTTAGAATTCCACTTAAGGCATTGGTCATCCCTTGTCCATTCCCTTTTCTATAATCACTTGGTTTAAATGCTCTTCCCCCATCTCCACAGGTCTTAACTCTAGCCTTTAAGCCTACTTTGTGCAGCTCTTCTTTCAAGAGGGTTTCCTTGGTGGCCTAGTTGGGAATTCTTTCCCCTATCTCCGGGTTGCATTATTTCCCTACCTTCCTTTCATGATGCAGAGCTTCTTCCTGCATTGCCACTGGGGCTTCTTCCTAAATCATAAAGATTCTGCAAGAACAGTTGATATCTAATTCATCTTCGTATCAATAATGGCCCCAATATAGCATATTGCACATAGAAGGTGCTTAATAAATATTTATTTATCAAATGAATCAGTATCTTCTGTTGTGGGAACAGAGCTCAAAATCTGTTAGCGCAGAGAACATAGCAAATCCAAAAGCACAGGAAGGAGTAGGCCAAGCAAAGCTTGGACAACTACTACATGGACATCTAGATCTCTACAAGACAGGACTTGATATTAAAAAAAAAACAACAAACCTCACCCCACTCTCGCCACAACCTAGTTTTAGTCTCAAGATTTAAGTTAAGAGGTTCATAGCTGTAACTCTAGGTAACTAGGGAATTATGTGATGCACCTAGTAAGGGCTAGGTTGGGACGTAGGTCTCTCTGGTCCTGAAGCCCAAACTTTCTGCATCTTCCTACTGCACGGCCTGAACCCAGGAGGCAGAAGCAGGTGTCTTGTGTGTGTGGTGGTGGGTTAGGAAGAGGTGAGGGGAGACTTACATTTCTGGCCAGGGATGGTTTCCCTAGACAACGTTCACAGTGCTTGCCTGCAGAATGATTAAAAAAAAAATCACAGAGAAACAGGCTAGAGTGGGTGCTTGTGGTGGTGGCAGTGTTGTGATCGGCATCCAATGAATTATGCTTTTAACTGGATTTTATAATGCGCCTTCGCTCCATACTTTGGGATCTATTTTGTCTACCCTTAATTGTCTTACAGTGTGGGGCTCCTTGGTTAACCAAACAACAGATGTGTTTATTTAAAACTTTTGACAAAATCTTTTTATGTTTTCATTACATTCTAGCACCTAGGCTAAAAATGAAAAGGTTATCTCGTTGGCTCTCAATCGTTTTGAGTGTTTCTTAGTTCTTCTTTTCTTTACCCATGGATTCTGATATCGTTAGAATTCTCAGCATTTTAAAGGAAAAGTAATCCTTTTCCTATAGTGGTTTCCTTCTGATCGATTGTTCATACTGGGAGTAGCAGAGGCAGGGATTGCAGACTTAATATTGTGTCTCTTCAAA